AACTCTGAAATAGTCTGTAGGGGGCGTTAATGAGCCGAGTTCAATTATTTCACTTTTAAATGACTTAGACCCTAGAGTTGAACCATGGATTCAAGTTTTGTGCAAATCGGAATTTGTATGTGTAAACGGGAGCAAATAGAATGTTGTGAAAAACAGCCAATAAACACTCACATTTTGCCGCTCCGCTGCTCAAACAGCGTTTCACTGATCAAAAATCCCTGAGGTCATTTTGATGGTACATGTGTTTAGACAATGTGGAGTGATATGGAGGCCAATCGGTGAAACGGCCGAGGAGGAGTCGCTTTCCAACCGACATGTATGAAAATGATTGCGGATCATTTTTCCATTTTGCAGCGAAATTTATGGGCGTCCTGTTTGTCAGAGGGCGGAGCCATGGTAACATTTCGGTCGTATCTTGACTTGAGGAACATGTGTACCGAATTTCATGGCTCTACGACAAACTTGACCTCTGAAACTCCCATTGGCTCTTGTAGGTGGCGCTGTTCTGGCATTTATTGAGTCCCATAAAAATAAACACCAAAATATCAAATTTTTCACCAGGTGTGATGTTTGGGCAACATTTTACAACTTTTCATGCATGTTCAGGGGGTGAAATTAAGGCTCAAAGTGCAGAATTTGACATCTCTCGAGCAAAAACAATAATTAAAAGTAACAAAGTATTAGCTTCAGTTTACAAAGAAGGTATGTACTTATGTGGCATTTGTAAAGATTGTAGAAAAGATAAAATAAGATAAGATTTCAATGTCATTGTTGTGCACATCACAGCAGAATAAAAGGAGGAAATAAGATAAATATGTGAGTTTATGCTCCCAATGGGATAACGGTTAACCGTGTCATGACAAAAGGTAAAGTACACTGGCAATTTTGCAGTTCTATTTCTAGTTCTACGTTGGTTATGTGATTGAAGGAATGGAAAACATAAAAATAATTTATTCATCAGTTCTGGATTCGACCTAAAAAGGAACCAACATAATGGATCATGTCCATGATTTAACCCATGTTAAATCCAAAGTTGAATCCAGTCCATGTCTGAATCCAGTCAAGACATCCATGTTGTCAGGTCCTGGACAAGTCTGCTGAACTCAAAGGGTCTAGGGTGACTTGGTGGACGTGTGATAAGAGAAATCCGCCTGAACGTCTGTGTGGGTGTCAGGGGGACTGCATTAGACTGGTTCAGTTTGTACCTGTCTGGGAGGTCCTGCACTGTCAGGCTGAGGGACTCCTCCTCTTATTCATTTACACTGTGGAGTCCCCCAGGGTTCCATTCTTGGCCCACTCCTGGCCCACTCTTGACACCCCTGCTGGACTGCCTTGGTGACGTCAAGGCTTAGTTAGCCCAAAACTTTCTGTGCTTGAGAGGAAAACAGTTACTGTTTTGTTTGGGCCTGCGGGTCCCCTACTGGACCTGGGTACCCTCAGGGAGGATGTCCATCCCTTTGCCACCGACCTTGGCGTCACCATGGACAGTGATTTTAACCTTGACAGGCAGATCAGAACAGTCGTGAAATCAGGCTTTTATCACCTCCGTCTATTTTATTTATTTTATTGTTTTATTGTTGTTTGTTGTTGTATATAGTTAATTTCTTTATTCTTATTGTTTTTATTTAAAGCTGGCAGACTTGTATATTTTCATCTGTTACTTCTATCTGTGCAGCACTTTGAATCAGAATCAAAATACTTTTTTTGCCATGTGAGTAACAGGAAGTCACAAACTAGGACATTTCTTTGGCTCTTGAGGCAAACAAGTTAAAGCAGAAACTTGGAAATGTGTTTTATAAAATGTGCTATATAAATAAAGTGGATTGGAAAGCATCGAGTGAAGGCCATTGTCGGGAAGATAAATAGTTGCTGTCAGCTAAAAGATTCAGGTCGTTTCTGGGTTTTGTGAGTAAATGTTGAATTGTATTGTTCTAGGAGCTTCTACAGTGGAGTGAAAAATGCTGTAATACATTCTTTTGGAAACTAGAGAAACTTCACATATTTTGGTTATTACTGTGCAGTACTTGAATATTTAAAGGTTGATATTAGATGCTTTGCTTGTTTGTGTCTTGTTCTCAAACGGATTGGTGATTACATATAAAAAGTTCATTTGATCTTCTTTATGTTTCAGGCCTAGAAGAGACAAAAAGTGTCCTGAAGCTAGAACTGCCTGGTTACCTGAGGGGTCACATGTGATGGTGTGACATGTCTCTGATGAGCTGTTGTTACCGGATGCGGTCAGTCTGATAGATTGTGCAGAAAGAACCGAAAAAGAAACACGGCAGCACGACAAACAAGATCCACCGATGACAAAGCAACACAAGAAAACCTCAAATCAGAAACATCTGACCACTGCAGAAGAATCATATAACGGACTGGGCCAACCTAAATATAGGAGGAACGGAAGAACATAAATACAAAAGCTGGATATGAGCGGTGTCCAGGAGGCATGAACAAATGCCCGAGCCACCTCAACTGGCTCCTCTCGATGTGGAGAAGCAATGGCTCTACCCCGAGCTCCTCTTGTGTGACCGAGCTCTCACTCTATCTCTAAGGGAGCACGCGCCTAGCCTCTTTTTTTTTTGCCCGCCACCATCCCCTCTTGGGAGGTCAGCTTTGTTTTTATTTCGATTAATGATCACAGGAAAAAAGGGAAAGGCTAAACAAGACACACAGTGAATGGGGACAGGGAGAACAAAAAGAAGAGGAAAAAGCAGGAAGAGAAAAGGTAGAGTAAGCAAATTTGTATTTAAAAGTTCTCGTCCCCTCCCCGCACCCACGAAGCTATCGCCTCCGACTACCCCACACCCACTGTTGTTTACGGAGCGTATATCCCAATGCACTGCATGGATATGGATTGAATTTTCCTAATGCAGCCATTCCCAAACTCAGTAACACCGAGGCCCCCTTAAAAATCTGACGGGTCTACGTGGCCCCCCAAAATAATAACCAAGAAGACAACATTAAGAATAGGCTCTTCTGGTTATTTTATTTTGGGGAAATAGCCTCTGCTACAAACATTGTAATACAAAAATGATTACAGTGGCTTATTCAAGTCAAATAATGAACACAAATATTTTAATATTACAAACAAAACATTATACATTTAACATTAAATAATTATATTATTTTTTAATTTTTTTTATGACCTTCCGCGGCCCCCCTGCAGTACCCTCGCGGCCCACCAGGGGGCCGCGGACCCCACTTTGGGAGACACTGTCCTAATGAATACAAAAATAAAGTGAGGTAATGCAGCTTTAGGTTCAGAGAATCAAACAGTCCAAACACAGGAAATGCAATTATATAAAAACACATAAGGGGCTGATGACCAATGTCCATGAATGTGAATAGATGCCCATACATTCAGACAAGCACATAAATGACACAAGCTTAAACTTATAGGAATAAAACAAGCAAAAAAAAAGTACTGGGAAACAAATTGGCACTGTGCAATCGATCGACAAAAACTGTTTCAATCCAAGTGCAGGAGCATTAAAGTGATTTTATTGAACGGAGAGCGCCCACCGGAGCTGTTGCCGTGGCGCCATCTCGAAAAGTTGTGCTTGGAGACAACTCAAGCAACAAAAGAACTAGTATATATCAAATAAAACCCGGTCAAAAGAAATCTACAAAAAGTCCACACTGCTGTTGAATACTAAAAATGATCCCTGTTTATGAGCTTTAAAGAGATGAAGAAAAACGAGGGGATGAAAAGGAAGAGAAGTAATATATTAAGATTGTGTGGGCCCAGGCTCTCAACACACTGTGGTATTATTGGTTCCAGTCTGGCTTTGTGTGTGTGGTGTTTTATCACATGGATCAAACAGAGAAAACAGACAGAAGCGTCTTCCGTTGTGTAATAATGTCCTTTTTTAACTTCAAACATAATCTGCAATAAAAAACACATGTTCGGTTTTCTCTACTTCGACATTCAGGAAGTACAAGTTTCTATTCGTCTAGAGCACAGGTGTCAAAAACAAGACTTTATTGCGCCCGCTAAAACAAATGTTGATTATTGTGATAGACTTGTAGCACTGATGGTGGAGTCATGGCCTGTTGTACCTCATTTTAAAGCTACTTCTCTACATTATTCAATCTATTATAAAACTTATTAAAAAATCTAATTGGAAATAGTTAAAGGTGCAGTAAGTGATGTTGTTAGCTTAGCCGTAGCACCAACTGGAAACCACTCCCCCCTCCCCTCCCTCTCCACCAAACCAAACATCCAGCCCTTTCTTTCTTTTCACAACAGGGAGAGTGGAGCAAACGTGAAATTGGAATTTTCTGTTCTGCCATTTTAGGTTTTAGAAAATCCGATAACTCAGGTGCGCACACGCGAGAAACAGGAAGAGGGTGAAGGGGGTAAATGCATCCCATTGGTTTATTTTTATCGGTCTGCTCTAAAATATTTTTTATACATTTGGTCAATTCCATAATTATTTGAAAACACATGATGACTTGACTACTTTTAGTATTTAGAGACGTTTTCCCACATTATTTTAAGAATCATTGACTGCATCTTTAAATACAAACGGTAATCTTGGTATCAGTCTAAAAATACAACTTTATGAATTTTAAGTGAAAATGCAGTCAATCCAAACAGGCACTGAACTCTACCGGAAAGTAACATCCAAACTCCTGTTAAATAAACGTCATCATTTTTGTCAAAATACTTTTATAATGTAAAAAGTTAAAACATGAAATATATTGCCAGTAGCTACAGATAAGCTTCAAAATGTGCCTCTAAGTCACATTATATTTTTCAACTCAATTCGATTCGATTCAATGTATTTTTGTATTTCCCTAAATCATAACAGCTGTCGTATCCGGACTTGACAAAGTTGTGGATTCGCAAACAATAGATCAGAGAATCAAACACAGTTAAAACACAGGAAATGCAATAATTACAAACACAAAGAACAATAACAGTAATAATTCATTCATTCATTCATTCATCATCAACCCCTTTATTAGTCCATTTCTGGGTCGGGGGGTGACATTCAGAGCTGCCACCCAATGCTCATAGCTCCAGTCCCTCGCTGATCCTCTGCAAGTGGTGGGTCCACAATAACAGTAATAATATATGCGTAAATCATTCCTAAAAGATGAGAAGAAGATTAATTTAAAATACATACATTTAACCTGAATAAATGTTAATAATGACAGATGACCCACATGTCCATCAATAATTACAAACCCACATTCAGCCATTTACTATTTGCTCTCAAGCAGAATGAGTTTGCCTTGTTTTGTGATATTTTTGAATGAAAAGGGACAAAGGTCAATGTTAATTTAACACATGTTTTGCTGTGATTCAATCCTGTAACATGTAACCGTGAACAACAACGTTCTCCTTCTTGTCAGAGCCGTCTCAGTCTCAGGACAGCAATCTGCAGCTGACGTCACTTACTCAGGACTAAAATAGTGGTTGCATAATAGTTAGCCCGGCATGAGCCAAATCAATATGGATGTTTTCCTGGAGGTACAAATAATGAGGATATAAATAAGCAATGAACAAACTGGAAAATGGACTCATGTTGTTTCAGAAATAATAATAATGCATCTGTTTTATGCACAAGGAGTGAGTATAACATGACAGTTATCTTTATAGAAAGTCTCTCTATAAAGTCTCTCTGGACTCTCTCTTGAGTCTCTCTCTGGTCTCTCTCTCTTTGGTCTCTCTTTGGTCTCTCTCTGGTCTCTCTCTCTCTGCTCTCTCTGGTCTCTCTCTGGTCTCTCACTCTCTAGTCTCTCTCTGGTCTCTCTCTGGTATTTCTCTGGTCTCTCACTCTTTGGTGTCTCTTTGGTCTCTCTCTGGGCTCTCTCGCTTGTCTCTCTCTGGTCTCTCTCTGGTCTCTCACTCTCTGGTCTCTCTCTGGTTTCTCTCTGGTCTCTCTCTGGTCTCTCACTCTCTGGTCTCTCTCTGGTTTCTCTCTGGTCTCTCACGCTTTGGTCTCTCTCTCTGGTCTTTCTCCCGTCTATTTTTCTGGTCTCTCTCTCTGGTCTTTCTCCCGTCTATTTTTCTGGTCTCTCTCTGGTCTCTTTCACTGGTCCCTCTCTCTCTGGTCTCTCTCTCTGGCCCCCCTCTCTCTCTGTGGTCTCTCTGGTGTCTCTGATCTCTCTCTCTTTGGTCTCTCGCTATTTAATTTATATGTATGATTTTCAAGCACATTATCTAATCAGAGCAGAATGAGTCTCTCATTTGGGTTGCAAGTTTGTTTGGTGAAATGCAGATGGTCTTGGCTCCATCTTTTTTAAATTAACAAACAAAAGATAGCACCACACATTTGTTTAAATTATGCAAATGCAAACATAAGTGTCATACAGAGTTTGTACAGTTTATAGCTAAACTCCAGCAGGTGGTTTACCTCATTAACCAGTGTTTAGCCAGATACATGTGTCACAGCAGGACAATTGTGACGACAAAAGTGTGTTTGAAATGACAACAGACATACGTAAATCCTGACGGAGGCAAGTTTCTGAAATGCATTGGTGTTTTCAATATTCTAGCCAATATTCACGTTTTTCTTTTTTTACTTTAACCATTATTTTTTTTGTATTTGTGATGGGAGACCTTTGGGATCAACAGGTGCCACAGTGAGGCGGCTGTAATATGCCAAACTTTTGTTGTGTCCTTGGCAGGACACTTCACCCACATTAGAATGAGTCTGGTGTGTGTGTGAAGGGTTGGTGGTGGGAGACTGGTTGCCTCACTTCTGTCAGTGTGCCCCATGGCAGCTGTGGTTACAGTAATAACATCTAAAGCGTATTTGAGTGTCCTGAAAAGCACTAAATAAAACTGATTAACACTATTATTATTATCATTTTATCCCCGTATGTTACAGTCTGAACGGATAAACCCATGTGCATGTCTGCAAATACACTGACCTCTGGGCTGGGACTGAGGAGCACAGGGACAGGCCTCCTGCTGGGACTCTGAGGAGCACAGGGACTGGCCTCCTGCTGGGACTCTGAGGAGCACAGGGATTGGCCTCCTGCTGGGACTCTGAGGAGCACAGGGACTGGCCTCAAGCTGAGAGAGAGTCAGAAAGAAACATGGGGAGGCAGCGTTTCAGATTTATGCAGCTATAACAGTCTTCCTGAGGTCATTCAAAACTCTCTGTGTTGCTGTGCATAGAACTGATTCTATTTATTTATCTCTTTTTAACCCACAACTTTACAAAGAGTTTGAAGAACAATACTTTTATGCTGCTCTGTTTTACATTATTTTATATTGATGTATTGTGCTATACATAGCACATTTTTCACAAATTGTACTATACAAATACATGCTGATTGATTGACTGATATGTATCCTTTAAGCTGCTCCCCTCCAAATAAATCTCATCTGTCTGGACCTAAAGTGTCTCATGCATGTCTTGGCTGCAGCATCTGTATTCCTCGACGGTGAGAAGCCGTTATCGATCTCTCCAACACTTTCTCAGCCCTTGCTCGGCCGCTGCACCTGCGCCTCTCTCTCTCTCTCTTGCTCTCTCACTCTCTCTCTCTCGCTCTCTCGTCTTGGTGCAGTGTGGAAAATTCCAAGCCTCTGCAGTGCTGCTCGGACGGGGACCGAGACTGAAACTTGCCCACACCGCGACAGCGAGTCTCACACATCCAAAATCAACGGAAAAACACCAGCCCCAGAAAATGGGTTAGAGGCTCAAGTCTTAGCTTTCCAAAGGACAAGTTTGGAGCAACATATTTAATAATCTTTTTCCCCCATGCATTATATATGTTTATTGGTATACACAGGGGAAACGACAAAGTTCATCAACTGTACATCAACTTACATCCTAAACCATATGATAAACTCATTACAGGTGATATAGCTCAGTTGGTAGAGCATTGGCCTTTGACCCTAAAAGTCGTGGGTTCGAGCCCACCACAAGACTTTCTCCACCGACTCCCACTGATGTCTGCTTTTGTGTCCTTGGGCAAGACACTTAACCACTTGACCCCCTTTGCCTGGAATGAGTCTGGTGTGTGTGTTTGAGTGGCTGGTGGTGGTTGGAAAGGCCGATGAAACATACTGGTTGCTTTGATTCTCTCAGTGTGCCCCAGGGCAGCTGTGGCTACAGTAGTAGGTTATCACCACCCTGTAAGGAATGAATGTATAATCACATGTATGTCTTTGAGTGTCCAAAAAAGCGCTGTATAAAACCGATGCATATTAAAGTGAGATATATCAAGACTGTTCATTCATGGTTCATTTCCGTCCCTTTAATCCATTTCTTGGTTGGGTGTTGGCAATCAGAGCTGCCACCAATTCTCATAAAACCAGCCTCTCACTGACCAGAGAGAGATCAGAGAGATACCTGAGTGACCAGAGAGAGAGAGAAGAGAGAGACCAGAGAGTGACAGGAGAGAGACCAGAGAGAGTGACAGGAGAGAGACCAGAGAGAGGGACCAGAGAGAGTGACAGGAGAGGGACCAGAGAGAGAGACCAGAGAGAGGGACCAGAGAGAGAGACCAGAGAGAGGGACCAGAGAGAGAGACCAGAGAGAGTGACAGGAGAGAGACCAGAGAGTGAGACAGGAGAGGGACCAGAGAGAGGGACCAGAGAGAGGGACCAGAGAGAGAGACAGGAGAGGGACCAGAGAGAGAGACCAGAGAGAGAGACAGGAGAGGGACCAGAGAGAGAGACCAGAGAGAGTGACAGGAGAGAGACCAGAGAGAGGGACCAGAGAGAGAGAGACCAGAGAGAGTGACAGGAGAGGGACCAGAGAGAGGGACCAGAGAGAGAGACAGGAGAGGGACCAGAGAGAGAGACCAGAGAGAGTGACAGGAGAGAGACCAGAGAGAGGGACCAGAGAGAGAGACCAGAGAGAGTGACAGGAGAGAGACCAGAGAGAGAGGAGAAAGAGACCAGAGAGTGAGACCAGAGAGTGACAGGAGAGAGACCAGAGAGTGAGACAGGAGAGGGACCAGAGAGAGGGACCAGAGAGAGGAACCAGAGAGAGAGACAGGAGAGGGACCAGAGAGAGAGACCAGAGAGAGTGACAGGAGAGAGAGACCAGAGAGAGGGACCAGAGAGAGAGACCAGAGAGAGTGACAGGAGAGAGACCAGAGAGAGAGACAGGAGAGGAACCAGAGAGAGAGACCAGAGAGAGTGACAGGAGAGAGACCAGAGAGAGGGACCAGAGAGAGAGACCAGAGAGAGTGACAGGAGAGGGACCAGAGAGAGTGACAGGAGAGAGACCAGAGAGAGGGACCAGAGAGAGAGACCAGAGAGAGTGACAGGAGAGAGACCAGAGAGAGAGACAGGAGAGGGACCAGAGAGAGAGACCAGAGAGAGAGGAGAAAGAGACCAGAGAGTGAGACCAGAGAGTGAGACCAGAGAGTGACAGGAGAGAGACCAGAGAGTTAGACAGGGGAGGGACCAGAGAGAGGGACCAGAGAGAGGAACCAGAGAGAGAGACAGGAGAGGGACCATAGAGAGAGACCAGAGAGAGTGACAGGAGAGAGACCAGAGAGAGGGACCAGAGAGAGAGACCAGAGAGAGTGATAGTAGAGAGACCAGAGAGAGAGACAGGAGAGGGACCAGAGAGAGAGACCAGAGAGAGAGGAGAAAGAGACCAGAGAGAGAGACAGGAGAGGGACCAGAGAGAGAGACCAGAGAGAGAGGAGAAAGAGACCAGAGAGTGACAGGAGAGAGAGACCAGAAAGATACCAGCGAGAGAGACCAGAGAGATCAGAGAAAGAAATCAAAGAGAGATAGAGAGACCAGAGAGAGAGTCCTCTGAACTAATCACCATGGAGCACCCAAGCCACAAAAGTTTGCTTCAGACTTGAAATGAAAGTGACTTTCTTGTTTTTCTCGTAGTTATCCGATAATGAATATGAAGATGTTTGAGCGTCCAAGACCAGAGAGAGACTTTAAATGAATGTCACGTTGTAAAATGATGTTGTTGGGAGTGTACACGAGGTGCATGAGAAGCACGCTGTAAATAAAGTCTGCAACATCACACATCCGCAAAGCAGCGAGGCCGAGAACTAAAGAGTTTTTCCTCTGATGCAGGACGGTCTGTAAAACTGTCAGTGTCTAATAAGAAGGACTGTGGTGATGATCCAGGACACTCTAACATTCTACAACATGTATAGACATTTATCTACATCCATGAACATTGGTCTCTCCCTATGGACCAATACACACGTGTATTGTATGTGTATTTTTGTGTCTTAACCGTTAATTCTCCGATCTGTGTTGGTGATTTCAACGGTTTTGTTAAGTCTTCTGAGATGACTGCTGTTGTGATTTAGGGCTATACAAGAATACATTGAATTGAAAAGAACTGTGAACCGTGTAATTGAGAGACCATTGTGTACATTATACATATAAACGTATGGATTTAACAGAGGAAGTCAATTAAGTGCAACAATATAGTTACTCTCGGAAAAAGTTGCTCTTTGTTACTTAAATGTATCAATGAAATCCAACACTTATGCCGTATGACACAACACTGTCATACGGCATCATCACAAGAGCCTCTTTTAAAACTTGAAATGGAAAAACACCAGACAACAATAAGCAGCTTCAGAATCAGCACCTGCACATTTAGACTCATTCAGTTTAATTTTATCTTTCACCGCAGCTTTTCCCACAACTCAGAGGTTTCCTGCTGCTCTCTTTGAGAAGACGAGAGACATTTGTGCAGAAAGAAATGAGGACAAAGATGAACTTGTATTGTCAAGAAAAGTCATACTTAAATCAATCAGGGTTGGTCGACAAGCATTTTAAACTTCCAAAGGAGGCAAAAACTGTTAATTCAATTGAAAATGTAAAATGAATTGGGTTCAAACTTACGCACACAATGTATTTCTATAATACATGTCATTCAACTACAATAAATGCATGTGGATTTATCCATTGATTCATTTTATTTCTCTTCATCTGTTGGCGGGTTGCAGCGGCAGCATTAAAGCAGAGACGCCCAGACTCCCCTCTCCACACACTTCATGAAGAGGAATCCAGGTATTCCCATGCAGGCCAGCTGAGAGACACAGTCCATTGTATCCTGGGTCTTCCCCTGGTGTCCTACCGGTGAGACATGCCCAGAACATCCCAAACAGAGAGCTCCTCACTCTATCTCTAAGGGAGCAGCGCCTCTACTACAAGCTCCTCCCCTGTGACTGCGCTCCTCACTCTGTCTCAATGGCAGCGCCCCGCCACTCTGCAGAGGAAACTCATGTAGCGTGTTTCTATCCCCGATCTCGTCCTTTCAGTTATTACCCAAAGCTCAGGACCTATGGATGATGAGGAGATGGAGGGGACGTACAGTAGTAGGCGGGAAATCGAGAGCTCTGACTGCAGACGCTGCTCCCTCTTAGTAATGTGTGTTAAAGGCTTGCATATTTTATTGCTCAAAATATTGAAAATATTTGAAAGTACTCTGCAATAAGGGCACAAGGTTGAAACAGATTCTCAAAGCCCACTTCAAACCGTGCAATAACTGGCTCAACATTGGAACTTAAAGACACATGGAGACAAAACATCTCATTGCCCATTTTCTCGAACCAAGAAAAATAAGAAGTTAATTCAGTTTGTGTCACCGCTGTAAGTGAGTGTTCTGTCAGTGTGGAGAAAACCTCACACTCTCTGACTGTTCTGGCTGTAGCTTCAGTCTGCGATGACAATGATGTGATAATAAGTGATATTACTGTCAATATTCATGACAATTATTCGAGACAAATGAATAAATATACATATGATAATGGGGCCTTATTTTGTCTTAACTGTATTTCCTAATTCATGATTCATTGACAACATCTCTACAGGGTTTTGTAATCATCGTCAAAAAGGTCAAATACACAAACTTTTGAGACGGATGGAGGTGGTTTTAAACTGATGGTTGACACAAAAACAAACATGAAGAGTTTTCCTGCAGTCATTACAGAAGGTTGTCACACAGTGTCGGGACGTGCATTTCAGACCTGCGCCTGCAGTGATGCCCTCCACAAATGAATCTACCTCTTCATTATGACGCACATAAGTAAGTAATCTTTGTTTATATAGCACATTTTCATGTTCAT